TATAGTAAATAAGCAGGCAAATTTGCCTGTGAAACCCTACAATCTAAGGGATAAAAATGCTGTCCTGAAAGATGGATGTGGCATTTATTAATAAAAAATTTAATTTTTATTAATTTTTTATATTAAAATACCATCCCGAAAGTCAGACGTAGCATTTATTAATAAAAAAATTAATTTTATTAATTTTTTATATTAAAATGCCGCCCCAAAAGTCAGACGTGGCATTTATTAATAAAAAATTTAATTTTTATTAATTTTTATATAAAAATGCTACCTCAAAAGACAGATGTGGCATTTATTAATAAAAATTTGATTTTTATTAATTTTTTATATTAAAATGCCGCTCGAAAGTCAAATGCAGCATTTATTATTAAAAAAATTAAATTTTAATAATAAAATACTATCCCAAAAGTTAGACATAGCATTTATTAATAAAAAAATTAATTTTTATTAATTTTTTATATAAAAATGCCACCCCAAAAATCAGACGCGGCATTTATTATTAAAAAATTAACTTTTAATAATAAAATACTAATCTGAACGACAGAGACAGATTTTTTGTTAAAAAAAATAAAATTGTTATTTTTTTTAACATTAAAACACTGTTCTGAACGTTGGAGGCAGATTTTTGTTAAAAAAATAACAAAATTGTTTTTTTTAACATTAAAATACCGTTCTGAACGTCAGAGGCAGATTTTTGTTAAAAAACAACAAAATTGTTGTTTTTTAACATTAAAACGCTGTTCTGAACGTTAGAGGCAGATTTTTGTTAAACAAATAACAATTTTGTTATTTTTTAATATTAAAACGCCGTTCTGAATGTCGGAGGTGGATTTTTGTTAAACAAACAACAATTTTGTTGTTTTTTAACATTAAAACGCTGTTTTGAATAGCGGAGGCAGATTTTGTTAAAAAAATTTTTTGATCTGTCAGATACAGATATAGATTCAGATTTGTCAGATTCAGATATAGATTCAGATTCAGATTTGTCAGATTCAAATAGAATCTAATTCAGATTTGTCAGATTTAGATCGAATTGGATTCAAATTTTTCGGATTCAAATTGAATCAGATTTTACCTAAATCTGATCCAATCCGATCTGTGCTAAACACTAGTGACAATTATATATTTTTTTTACATTTTTTTTTAAAATTTTCAATCAAGAAAAAAAATTCTCTTTTATATGTGCTACATGCAATTTTCAAAATTATACCACTATTTCACGCTAATTTTGAAATTGTATCACCAATTTTAACTATTTTAACTCTAAATTTCAGAATTGCAGAATTTTTAACAGCTGATTTATTTAAAATAGTAAACTCTCTTGCGTAATGTCATTCTGTTGTAAGATCCCTCCCAAAATAGTAAATTTCTTGCGTAATGTCATTCCATTATAGGATCCCTAAAATAAAAATCGAAATTTATGTAACGTCATTATAGGCTGACCCTTACCTCTTTACTAAATGACGTCATTTTTGACTCTTTCTTACACAAATGATTATTTTTTGATTATTATATATATGGGTCATGAACTAACAAAATACTCCTTTGGTAAATTATTGCTTTTTTGAGAAATCAGAATTTAACATTTTAACATTTTCATTGTTTACAGTTTATTTTTAGAACAAAATGCAATATGATGATCAATTTATATGTAATGTGATACAAATTTTTATATTTTATGTCTTCTTAAACATTAAAAATGCATATTATTCCAATTTTAGATTGTCAATTTTTTTTGAAAAAGAAAGTATTATATGAATATTTTGATAATTTATTATACATTTATGTTCAAAAAATTAGATTATCATATAATTAAGTATATTCAGCTTATATAAAATCATAAAAAAAATATTTTTGATAAAAGACTTAAAGGGGCATTTTGCTAGTCCATAACCCATATTTTAGGGGTGGAGGTTCATAGGAAGACTTTCATGTGATAGGCTGATATAGTTACACGAATTTTATAATTGACATTGTAATGATTTATATGTATCACATAATATTATTACACGTGATATTTAACTGTATAATATGTATAAACTATAAAACTCATATTAACTTAAAATTAAGCTATCTATATAGATTTCGAAAAAATTGAACTGCTTATTTCAATGATCCATACTTCATTTTGATATTAAAAAATAGATAGTTAATGTAGTTTTAGTAATTTGTTTTAAAATATTTGTAATTTATTATTTAAAATTTGGATTAATTTAAAATTCACCCCTGGTGATAATTCATAGGAATGATTTTTACCACGATCTGAGTAAGAAATTTAATAAAACAAAATTTTACTCCAGTAGAGGTGAATTTCACCAATTACATAATTATTTGTTACTAAAAACGCTATTTTTCTTCTTTTGTTTAATCTGTTTTCCTTTGGCTAATTTTTAATGCTTTTAATACAATATGGAATATGAAACACTTTGAGCTGGTGGTTTAAATAATTCTAACGAAGCTTTATATAATACCTTTTCTAATACTTTTAATTTCTTTAATGAGAACTTTGATGATATTTCACTATATAATAATCTTCTTAATAATGATGTGAACTTTTTGCCAGACTTCGAACTGCTACCTCTTAATAGTAATATTAATGATATACAATATTTTGAACCACTTAATGACGTTTCCGATTATGATATCCCCACTTTTGAGTTACTTAATGATATATTATATTATCAATATAACCTCACTGTAGGTGACTGTTTTGATGATTGTTTGTCAGTCGATACATTTATGCATCAGTACTAAAGATGGGAACTGTAATTAATATGTTGTAACTTTTAATGTTGCAACTTACGTTGCAATTAGTTTTAACCTATA